TTCCCCCGGAGGAGCTGGAGGAAGTGTCTGGAGAGAGGGAGGTCTGGGCATCTTTGCTTAGACTGCTGCCCCCGCGACCCGGCCCCGGATAAGCGGAAGAAAATGGATGGATGGATGGACTCTCTTTTATACATACTGGGCAGCAGGTTTGAAAAATTTATTTGCTTTTTGGCAGTCTGAACATCTGGAAACCATTCTGTAGGGTTAAATGCCAAAAACCTTTCAAAGAGGACAAAGGTAATCAATCGCAAAGAAAACCTTTCACCGGTTACTGCAAGAGAAGGGCACATTTTATTTGCTTAAAAAAAGCAGCTGAAGCATCTTTTATATTTTAGCTGAGTCATTTACCTTTCAGTGAGGCTCTGTGTTTGTGGAACCATCAGGATCAAACCTCTGACCTTTTGTGAGTTACTCTATATTGTAGATGTGACTGGACGGTGATGTGACTGGCAAAACATGGTCTGAAACTTTTACTATGCTCTCAAACACTGAGTGTCAAAACTAGCTTGTTACATAAAGCTTTTTCATTAAATGGACAGAAGGCATTTTAAATTATGTTTATACAAGCATATTATTCATTTCATTGTGTGTAGGAGGGCTGGGAATAATGCACCTAGTGGAAATGGAAAGCGTCTCCTTTTTAATATTTGGAGGAGGTCAGGTTCCATTTAAGCAACCTGTTGTGGGAGGGTGTTCAACTGAAAACACTTTCTCCCAGTGGTGCATGGAAAAACCAACTTTGACTGAAGGATGAAAAATCTTTACTTCTCTAAGACCTTTGTTATTTTTTATAATCAGCTGATGTCCTGAGGAGAAAATGTAAAACACACCAACAGCAGGCTGTTTTTATTTTACTACACAAAACTTCAGTTTAAGCATTCTTCAAATAATAATATATGTTTCAGATCCATTAAATCTTTTATTGTGCACCATCTTGAATGGCCACAACTCCATTGCTGAGCTGAAACTGGTCAAAACATCTAGATGTTTCCTGATAGCTGCAGTTTTAAAAACTGTTTTCTGTCAGACTGACAAGTCTGCCTATGTAATATAACACTATAAGAGATTTGCCACAGTCAAGTTTTGTTCTGAACAAAGAAGCTGGCTGGTTACATGTGAGTGTCTTCTGTGTATGACATATAAGTTTGATTGTTTAAAAACCGCATCTACCCCAGATAGCCTTGTTACTTGATGTATCAGTGACATCTCGGTGGTGTTTAATTGTTGTTTAGTTAGTAGGTTTGGACAATATTTGTGTTGGGGGTAAAGTTCTCTAAGAATTATTACCTGAATGGCATAAAGAAATACCATGTCTAGAATGATATATTATGTTCATTCTTTTTCTTGTTGTCACACAAACCAGTTCAAACTGTCCTTATTAAAGGAATGGACTAGAACCCTTTCTGACCCTGCTCATCTGTGCTTACAGCCACACCAGGGAGTTGACTGATATTCCTGGAACCAGAGTTGCTTTGAATACCTGAAATACACTGATATTCTACCCTGCCATCTCAATTTTACTACTAAATATTTAATGTAATACTGGTACACACTGGTATTGTGCCAAATAGCCTCATGTAAACAGAAATGTCATTAAAAAAACAAACACAGTATTCATACTTTGCACTGAGGAGCCCAAGGAGCAGTCCTTCACACAGCAAATCAGATCCACGTTCCCATCACCCTGCAGCATCTCATGAGCCATTTGAACAGTTAAGCCTGACAAAACCAAAAAAAAACTTCAGTCCACTAAGACTACCGTGGCTGTAATGTGTACAACATTCCACAGAGAAACCCATAATCATTGTCCCAGTGCTAATTGTGCACTGTTTTCTTCCATCCATCTATTATCTATGCTACATATCCTAATGAGGGTTGTGGAGAGGCTGGTGCCAGTCCTAGTTTACATGGGCAAGAGGCAGGGTACACCCTGGTCAGGTCACCAGTCTATCATAGGGCTATAGACAAACAACCACACACACCCAAAGTCACTCCTACAGGCAATTTAGAGTCACCAGTCAACCTAAGCTGCATGTCTTCGGACTGTGGGAGGAAGCTGGAGTACCTGGACAGAACCCACGCAGGCACGGGGGAGAACACGCAAACTCTGCACAGAAAGGACCTGGGTCAGCCTGCGCTGGAACCCAGAACCTTCTTGCTGGGAGGTGACAGCACTAACCACTGTACCAATCAGTGAATCAGTTGTGTTACAAAAATAATCACGAACATCCCAGTATCCTGGTTTCATATACAGAAAAGGAAGAAGAAGAAGAACAAAAAACACAAAATGCAAAAGTATTCATGAAAACAGATGGAATCAGTATACTGTTATATTAATCAATGGAATACATGCCAATATAATTCTACTCTATGGTACTGGCAGCAGCAATAAAACACACACACACATACACACCAACACCAGGTATAATAAGCTGCTATGAAGTATGACCACCACACTGAAGCTGTGTCAGTGACTCCATTTTCCACCTGACTTTACAGTACAGTACATCCCATGGGGTCCAAAATTCAATCAGCAGAATTACAGTGAGAGAGCGCATGCTAGATTCGTCTTTCTGTCTTCACCGGGAAACAGGATTTTGTTGTAGGTTTGTTCCAGTGAGCAGTCAGATCTGGGCAAAGACTGGGAGTAGTGCTGAATAATAATCTGATCCGTGATAAAGTAAACTTCTAATTAAAACTACTGGAGCAGATTTTCCTTATCTGGCAAAGGTATAGTCAAGTCAAGATTTTTATTTGCCATTTATGCATAAACAGACAGTCTAGGCATATAGGTATTCTTGTGCAGCTCTCCTTTGGAGTCAGGTAAAGAGTCAAAAGCCAGAAAGAATGTGGTTGGTTCAGTAGTTGTGTGTGTGTGTTGGTGCGACTGTGTGTTCTGTGCCCTAAAGGCAGGTGTGTAATTGTTTTAATTGTCTCATTAACTGCCCTGCTATTTGGTGTGACATCAAGACAGCAAATAGTTGGCTATGCCCCAAATTATTATTCTAATCTTGTCATTGATTATATATGTATTCATGCTTTCATTTATCATCTCATAATCCACGGATCACACTGAAAATCCTGAGGTCTAAAATCTCTAATTTCAGTGACATGAATGTACAAATTTAGGTGCCAGAGTTAAAGTCGCATTAGATTGCAACTAAAACATAATTATGATTTTAATCATTTCACACCAATGTTTTATATTAACGGTGGATCACATGACTTGCACGTGAAAGGGGAACCCAGAGAGAATTACTGCTCTGCAGAGTTTTATCACATCTTTTAGGTCACTGTTTTGGTTCACTCCCACTGCCCTCATCAATCTCATTTATAGCTGCAGTACGCAGCTGTTTTCAGTGACAAACCTCTACAGATCCATTGTAGGGTACCAGCTCAGCACCAAACCAGCTGTAAAATGCAACCCAGCAGCACACCTTACTGTTAATATAATGTAACTCTGACATACTGGACCCACATATTACAAAAATTACATTTAGTGCTGTAGGTGCCTCAAAAGAACTAAACATTTTTAAAAAGCAGAAACTAGTAGCGCTACATGACAAAAAAGTACCGGCATGTATATGCCAAAACATATGTAATTTTGTTCAAAAACCACTGGCATTAGACTGATGCTGTAACAGCCCACAGGCATCAGACAGAGCTGGTGGAGAGGAGAGCCAGTAGGAGCAGAACAGAAGTCAAAGCAGAACAGCTGACTCGCAGATATCAGCAAATACAATTGTTACACCACCGGTAACCACTGAAACACAAGGGAGATACTGTAAGCGTGTATGTAAGCATCTTGTTGTTGGTGTGTAGCCATGTTTGTTCTGGATGGTGCAACACTTCACCTCACAAATACATCACTCTCCCAGAAAAGAGAAGGAAAGAAACTGGGTTTCAAAACAACACAAAAATATCATTTGTACGACAAAACAATCAAGGACAAAAGTCTCTACTGTTCGACACAATTACAGTGCTCCAGCTTTGAGTTTTTCTTATTCTAGCACAACACATCTGGAAAGCATGGTATATTAAATTTTGCTTAGGGGCTGCAGGAGAAAGAACTTCACAGGTTTTCTGACTAAAAGGTAAAGAGCACTTTAAAAATTACTGACTATAAGAACATTTGCCCATTAGTATCAGCTGATTATGCAACAAAATATTTCTTTAACAGCCACTCATTATGACTAGGACTGTCCTCAGGAAGGTCCTCAGAGCTGATATAAGAACCTTGGAACGTCCTACGTCCTCGGTCAACCAGAATGACTTCCGGGTTGACCGAGGAACGAGGATGTAGGAACAATCTTATACAAGACATAAGAGGTACCCCTTGTCTGATCACTCCTCGCTGGGAGAGGAGAGAAGAGAGAGGAGTGAGAAGGCTGCCTGGAGGAGTTATAAGTGAGGATACACCAGTGCATACTTTGCTGAAGTCTGTTACAGATTAACATGCACCTTTATCAGAAATTAGTTTGTGATTGGATGCTTCACTTCACGATTGGAGGGAAGGATGCCTCATGTCAGTTAAAAGGTGTTACCTTGGCTTCTCTCTCTTTGCAGTTTCTCCTTGCATCTTTTTATTGTGTCTTATTGTGCTTTAAATTTTATCATGTTGCATCAGCACAGTATGTGTTTGGTATAAGACTTTTGAAAACTATTCTTCTATAGACAAAAGAGATCGACTGTGTTGAGACAAAGATGTTAAGGACATCATCTTTAAAAAAATGTACCTCTGACCTTTCAAGTGCAGCACTTCATGTACAGTATCTGGCTGTTTAGATGTAAATCAAATGAGCATGATGTTAAGACACCTCAACAAATTCAGAGTCATCGATTGAGGTCTTGGACAAAAAACAGCAGGGCATTTAATATTCACGTCACTGTTTTACCATTAGAAGGAAGCTGTTTGAGTCAGCAGGATGGTTGACATGTTGGACTTCAGCGCCAATATCGATAGTTCCTGTTGGTTCAAATATTTATTGAAGTTCACCCTAGGACACTAGTACAGTGAAGTGCAGATACCGGAAGAAGTTTTGAAATTCAAATACAGCTCCTATGTAAAGCAGTAACCAGTGTCAGGTGAGCTCAGCATTTTTGTAGTGTGTGTTTGGATTTTTAAAAACACTTTTACAAGCCACCAGGATGGCCGAGCGGTTAAGGCGTTGCACTCAAGATGCAATGGACACAAGTCCTCGTGGGTTCAAATCCCACTCCTGGTAGGAAGCTTCAATCTTTAGCAAAGCACCATGTTACCTGGTCTCATCAGCTTGTAATACAGCAGAGGTCTTTTACTGTTATGACTACTTGTAATTGTTAGCTCCCTTGGAGATCACAGTGGCTTGAAATTAGCCACAATTTTTGTCCAAGTAGCTCCATGGTGATTTATTTCACACCCATGAGCAAACTCACTTATGGAAATTTAATACCGTCCAAAGTTCCATTGTTTAAACACTGTTGTGATGAATGTACAGAACACTAGCGCTGCATTTCATCATATGTAATAGCAATATAACAAAAAAAGATCTGAACATAAACAGTTTTTCAGAAACCGACCTGTCAATGATTCCGCACATGTCAAACTGCAGGTTGCTATAGTTTCCCAGCTGCTTTTGCTGCACTATGATTAGATCTATGTTTTGGCTGTCCACAGTCAGGAGGCGCATGCAGCCCTGGAAGACGTTAAAGGGGTTTTTGCATTCCTGACTGTTGTCTTCAGCAGGGCAACCTGAACAAG